CTAGGTTAGAATTCATTTTATTAAATATATTATATATTTTGAAATTTCATTTAATACTAACTGTCACATTATTATTTAAATTATCAAGGAGCAAATAAGAATCTACCCTAAAAAATTATCCTTAGAAGCCTAGTTCCAAAAATTTTTCTTGACTAGGGAAAAAAAAAAACCAAAGGAATCTCTGCATTAGACATTACCACCGGTTCTAGAACTCTTCAATTTCGATTTTTAAAATTATTTATTCCAATTATAAAAAAGTAAAATTTGAAATAAGATAATTCATTTTATTTGATTTTTAAAATTCGTTTATATATTGTAGCTTTGAATAAAGAATAATAATTAATAATAATATAATAATAATTAATAAATAATAATAATAATAAACAAATATTATTATAAAAAACTAAAAACAATTTAGTAAAAATTCTTAAAGTTATGCATTTTTAAAAATTATAATAAAACAAAAAAAGACAATTTGAGAATTCTTTACAAAAATATTTTCACAGTTTCAAAATAGAACTGTCGATTTTAAATCAAAACTTACTAATTCCAATTTAAAAAAATAAAGACTGAAATTGAACCCTTAATATACATTGTTTTCAGTTACGAACCTTTAAAATATACGATTTCAATTATCCGTGGGAACCAAAAATCATTACCCATGATTTAATTGCAGAATTTAACCAGTCCGATTTCGGTTTGACAGTTTCGATTTCGGTTTGACAGTTTCGATTTCGGTTTGAAAAACCGGATTTCGTGGTCATGCCCACCCTGCGTTTAGCTTATAATACAACAAACGATTCCATTCATGTCACAACCTGAGGGCATTTCCTAACAGCATTGCACCACAAATAAAATGGTTCTTGAATCAGAAATGTACATTCTTAACTTGCTTCTAACTCTCTAAATTAATATTACATGAAACTAGTAATCTAAGACAAAAGTGAAGGCCTACTCTACCAAAAAATAAATAATTAATCCAAAAGAAGTGAAAGCCTATACTGGTGATACAGAAAGTGAAAGTCCGGTTTGTTAATCTTTGGAGCAGTATCCCACAAAAGAGACCAAGGGTCTTAACAATTTCTACTCGCAACATGAATATCTACCAAAGATTTATAATCTACGAGGGTATTCAGACATTTGTAAACAGAGTCTGAGGTGCCATGTCGAGCTCGTTCTATTGCCAACACTTGCAAAAAACCATAAATGGTGGTAAGCTGGGCAAATAACTCGCATAGAACGCAACATCTTTACAATTTGTGTTCTGCCATCTCTGTATTGCCTTTCAACCTTGGCAAAAATGCACATTTCTGGACAATCAAACGGAACTGATGCTGAGCAATAGCCTACATTGTTTTCTTTCTAACTCTATATTCATTGGATGAAAGCTCTGTTATTCACCAAAAATATTACGGATAAGATCATTAGGTGTTATTTGCCCAAACCAAGAAAAGCAAATTTTGCAAACAATCAAAGCTAAACTTCCAACAGCCTAACCTACACAAGATTTAAGTTTGCTAGAAGATATCCAATCTTTTTTCTATTTTTTCCTTTTCAATTCTGTGTTTGAAGTCCGAAGTTAAAAACAATGGAGAAAGAAACCTAAAGGATGATGTAATTAAGGCCTTTTTTCTATCCATTTTGATGCTAATTAAAACTCCACTCTCCCTCTTCCAAGGGAAAAATCAAAATTGAGGTTTGATTTCCTCGTTTTTCTTTTTCTTTTGGAAAAAAGTGCCCTATGTTTTTCGTGTTCTTCCCTCCAGAGAACTGTGACCATATCAAATCCTCTCTCGCGCTGTGTGAGCTCGTGTGATTCTGTAACCAATCTTAGCTGAGCAATGATACATAGTTAAACTATCGTCATCTGTCTATGTTGACGTTGCGCTTAACATTCAAAAATCCTTGATTGCCTTTCTGGCAACCATTAATGTAGCGCCACATCAAAACAGACCAACAATGTTAAGAACACTAGAAACTAAGTTTTTTGATGAATGAAACAGCAAACCCTTCTGCCAATTCACATACTCTTTAAGTGAAAAATCAAAAAACCATAAGGTCCCTCATAATTTCTCCCTGATGTTGTTGAGTTCTTTTTTTTTTTTTTTTTTTTTTTTTTTTTTGGTTATGAGAAAAAAGGGAGGTTTAGGGGGATTGTTGTTGCACTATTGAAGGCACGAGAAGTTTCAAGGCAAAATTTAGAAACATTATTGCCACCTATAAATAACAGAGTAAGCAAGAGAGGGTACCGTCTTTTGTTCTTTTGCCACTTTCCTGACAAAAAGGGACTTTATTGGCCCTCTGACGTGATTCATGGATTAAGTTCAACCCACTGCTCCATTTGTGGGAACTCCAAAGGATGCCATCTGATAAGTTGCTATTCAAGTACTTTTTATGCTCTATATTCTGTATGCATTTATGGCAGACGGCTCTATCAGTGGGAGTGCGCTCTCTTCACTTTGTTCACAATTATTACCAATTAGACATTATTTAGTTGCATTTGGGCAGTATATGATAAATTGGTAAAATTCCAGCATTTTTTTTATCTTTGACCCTTATTCGGTTATTTCAGGGTATCTGGAGTTGGTAGACCTTTCAAATTGGATTCGGTTTTGATTGCTCTGGAAAGATGAAATAAAGTTCTACAATTGTCAAAGAGGAATCGAAAGCTTAATTCAGTTTCTCAATATTTTGACAAATTCAACTCTTGAATTTGAAGCTAATGTGCTGTATAACCTTGAGCACAACCTGTTCTGTTGTGGACTTATATCGGAGTTCCAAGTTTGTCCATAACTAACTCAGCCCAGGCCCATTTTGAATTTTAGAAGACAGCCCTACAGTGTGTTGTGAAGGACAAATTAATGAAATTAAAGTCGTTTTGGTCTTCAAAACGCATATTAAGATTAACGTTTTTGAGCAGAATTCTGCTTCAATCTTTAGGATTTGTTCTTTTAGGTCATATTCTTGTTGTTTAGATGGTCCGTTTTGGGCGACCTTAAGCTTCGTTAGAAAGCGGAGAGAGGATTTTCAAATTTATTGAAGGAGTCGGAGCCAGATTTTGGAACAGAAGATGCTGAAAAACAGGGGAGAAATCAGAACAGCAAATATTTTTCTGTTACTGCTTTTGAATTTCCAATTGATTAGGAGATTCTTTTCCTTTGGACGGTTGTTATATATGGAGTGATTTCTACAGTTAAGCTAGGAGGCACGTCTTTTCTTCTCTTTTTCTTCTCTTAGTTCATCTATTAATCTAGGTTTTTGTTCTTTATTCTTTGTTTTGGTGATTGGAAGCCATGATTATGAGTGGCTAATTTCTTTACTCCAATTCAAGGGATTTATCATACTTGCACTTTTGTGAGACTCGGGTTTTAAATGAGTAGTTTCTTCTTGAATATGTGTTGTTTCTTATTCTTATTGAGTTGATTCTATTGAATTCTTTGCTAAAAAGGTCTATTAGTGAATTGTTTGGTAGGATTAAGTGCTATTTCAGATTTCATAATCCGTAATTGTTATGAAAGTTTGAATGTTAGTAGCAATTAGGTATTACTGATTATATTTTAGGTTTTCAGTAATAATCTATAGAGACAATTAGACAATAGGGTTGAATTAAATTGTTTATGCTTATAAATTGTTGTTCAAGTTTAAACCTACTTCATGATTCTTAATGTTTTATTAAAATTGAAAGGGATTGCTTAATACCCGATCGTTTATAATTAGAGTTAAATGAGGGTGCCTGGGCCTCAAGTTAACGAAATAGGGGAATTGGGAATTTATCATGCTTTTTGGTAAATTTCAGTTAAGTATTCAAAAGAGTAATTAAATCATAAGTTGTCTGTGATAATTGGTGCATTAGATTAGGAAATCCAACCTTGAATTGTTTTTCATCAATTTGCATTACTACTTTAGTTTTAATTAATTAATTTTCCCTTTTTTAACTGTTTAAGTTGAATTTTTCACAAACACAACCCCCCCTTTTTCCAAACACAAAAAATTAAGAATTTCAGTCTCTAAGGTTCGACCCTCAATTCACACTTCTACAGTTAAATTCAGTAAATTTAATTTGGTGGAACCGACAAACATCAAATTTTTGGGCCGTTGCCGGGGACTGAAAGTTTGTTTAAATTTTGTGTTTTTATTTTATTTAAGTTTCCCTTGTTTTACCTTGGTTTTAGTGCTGTTGTTTCAGGTTTGTGGAGAAAGAAGCAGTATTATTTTTGGAAGAAGGAGCATTCAAGATTAATTGTTTACTGACTAGAAGTTCTCAATCCTGGTGAAATTTCTCTTTGATTCTTGAAGTAAGAGAAGAAACAGCTAGGCGTTTGAAGGAAATTAGCTAAATTAGCTAAGGAAGCTAATTTGAGTGAATGTTCGTCTGAACGGGACTGTTGCGAATAGTGGTAAATAATTCTCCACGGGAATCAGTTTCAGATTCCGGATCCCGAGAATTTGAAACCAATGGCAGTCAGGACTTTAAAAGAATTGGCAACACCTGATTTAAATTCAAAACAACCTTTGTGTATTCAATTTCCTAACTTTAGGATGTTCTTTTGAATTAAAATCTGGTCCTAATCCATTTGTTGCCTTAAATTTCATGGACTTTCAGGTGAGGTCGCATAAACATTTGAAGGATTCCATGTGGTGTTGTTCTAGCATGAAGCCTCAAGGAGTTTCAAAGAAGAGCAAATTAACTTCGAGCTTTCCCTTTCTCAATTGGAAGACCAAGCTAAGGACTGGTTGTGAATTACCTTCCCTTCTGGATCGATTAATTTCATGGAATGAGATGAAGCGAATATTTTTTAGAGAATATTTTTCCTGCATCTCGGCTGCCAACATAAAAGGAAAGACCAATTTTGTGGAAAGACATTTGTGGCATTCGGCAATATAGTGAAGAGAGTTTATATGAGTATTGGGAGCGGTTTAAGAAACTTTGTGCAAGCTGTCCCCATCATCAAATTACTGAGCAGCTGTTGATCCAATATTTTTATGAGGGACTTATGCCGATGGATCGAAATATGATACATGCTGCTAGTGGAGGTGCTTTAGTTGACAAGACACCGGAAGATGCAAAAAGATTAATTGCTAACATGGCAGCAAATTCCCAGCAGTTTGGAATGAGAATGGATCACACGTCTAAGAAGGTTAATGAGGTAAGTACGTCTAATCTTGAGAAACAAATTTCAGATTTAACTTCTTTGGTTAGACAAATTGCTGTAGGAAATATGCAAGCTGTTAAAACATGTGGAATTTGCTTGGTTCCTGGTCTGGTTCCTGGTCATGCTACTGATATGTGTCCTACACTTCAAGAGGATGAACTAGTGCAGCAAGCCAATGCAGTAGGAAATTTTGGGCAGCAACAATGCAGGTATGATCCCTATTCTAATTCTTACAATCCAGGATGGCGAGACCATCCGAATTTGAGTTATGGGAATCAGCCAATGCAAAATCGCTACCAGCAGCAAAGACCACAAGTGAATCAACCATCTTCTTCCCGTCAAAATCAAGGTATGTCACTTGATGATATTGTTAAAGCTTTGGCTACTAATACACAACAGTTTCAGCAGGAAACTAGGACTAGTATTCATAATATATTCATAATATAGAGGAAGCCGATTGGGCAGTTAGCTTCATCTGTGAGCAAACTTGAAGCTCAAAATTCTGGTAAGCTTCCATCGCAATCTGTGATTAATCCTAAAGAAAATGCTAGTGCTATACTTTTGCGAAGTGGGAGAGAAGTTAATAATCAGGATGTAAAAGAGTCAACAAAGAAGCACAAGCAAGGTTCAAAGGATTCTGATATTCCTGAAGTTGAGGTAAATTCTAAACTTAATGATGCTAATAATTTTGTTGTTCCTCCTCCTTTTCCCAGTAGGTTGGCCAAGACAAGGAAGGAAGAACAAGAGAAAGAGATTTTGGAGATGTTCAGGAAGGTAGAGGTTAATATACCGTTAGTTGATGCAATCAAGCAAATTCCCAGGTATGCTAAATTCCTTAAGGAATTATGTACTACAAAGCGAAAGTTTAGAAATAATGAAAAAGTTACTGTTGGGGAAAATGTGTTGGCATTCATTCAAAGAAAATTACCTCCAAAGTGTAAGTGAAATACTCTGAATTTTTATTTTCGAAACTTTTAAATTTTTATTAAATCAAAAATCGCAAATTTTGGCCGCGTGGGCTGCAAACGTAATACAGTCTCAACTCGAGCCAAATTTTCGAATTGGGCCCAAGCCCAAAGCCCAAGCAAATAAATGTCAAAATTTTGAAATGTAAACCAGAAATAAGATTTTTGAGAAATAATATGAAACCCCGTAATTTAACCTAACTTATGAATATATATAAATTATTTATCCTAAAAAAAATCAAATATTGTTACTATTATTTTTTTATTATTAATTATCATTGAGTAAATGGAGAAAAAGTTACGGAACCTAATTAAAAACAATCGAATAAATGGAACGGACCCGGAAATCAATTGATTTTGAAAACCACACGAATAACCTGAAGAAATCAAATTGATTTTTGGAAAACCACACGAATAACCTGAAAACCAAGTGAAAAATCTGCAAACCGAGCAAAATCAAGCCAAATCGTTGAAACAGACCAAACCGATTTGAATCGAACCGGAATGGCCTAGAATTTGCTAGAAACCGCCTTTCTTCTTTATTTTTTTTTCTCTTCTTCTTCTTCGGCGCGCGCGACCTCACCTGGCCCTCTCCTCCTCTCGTTTTTCCGACGACCAGAGACCCACGCCGCGCCTCCATGTCGTCTACTTCTCGCCGGAGCAGTCCGACCTTCCTTTCCCTTGTCTCCGTTTCCGTTTCTGGTGAGCGCAAAGTCACAATGAAGCCGCGACTTCAGCCCGATCGAGACAGTCACGTCTTCATCCTTCTCTCCGAGCAATTCCGGCGACTATCGCCGACAAGGTAAGCCAATTTTTGACCTCTTTCAGTAGGATTTATGAGTTCTTGCTGAATGATGAAGGATTTGATTCATGAATTAAGTTCGCGTTGGAACTAAATCCCTAATTACTACTGTTCATGCAAATTTACTAAGGAGAATTTAATCCTTCAATCTAATTTAAGTTATAGATCAACCTACTGAATATATTAGCATGAATAAAATGATTTATAATTTGGAATTCGGTATGGCATGAGAATGACAGCAGTAAGCTTCAATCCAAGGTGTTATTTTTTTTATATATGAAATTTGAGGAAACCTCAGATTTAACTGTTAATCTTAAGCACAAGCTGAAATTGATATGAAATTGGCAAGTATGTTTGGTTATTACAATTTTTCATTGAGGTGTTAGAACAAATTTGATATGGCAGTAGCTAATCTAACCATTTGTTTAAGTTATTGTCTTGATATCAGATATAGGATATTATCAATTAAGTTCTTGTTGAGAAAGGAGTTCATTGGCCTGTAATGTACAGGCTATATTCAGAAATTTGATTTCTTTAGCTTGGTAGTGGCTAGTTGGTAAAATTTTATGAGTTTTGCTAAATGAGTTTAAATTAATGCTATATATATTTATGATTCGTATTTGACATTTTTGTTGCTAAGGATTAAGGATGTGATTGACAAAGGAATGTGAACTATATAGTTTGGGATGACAATAAATTTAATTGAATGTTATTCCTTGCAGCAATAAAGTTGGATATTGGTTAATACGCAAGTTTCTTGATTAATATATATAAATGAAGGAATTAGTTTGTAGAAATTGAAGGGTTGAGTAAGAACCTGATATTTTTTTTATGATAGCCCAATATTGAGTGTTCCTATAAATTTTTGTAATGATTAAATTTTTGTAATGATTTGATGAAAATAAAGTTGTATATTAATTCTATAATAAGGAATGGAGTTAAGTAGTGTATAAATCATAAGTGTAAGTGGAGAACTTGAAGAGTTCTCATGGTGGCAGCAGCTGTGTGGAAAATTTGTTACTATTTGAGTTTCAGTAGGCCATGATTAGATAGTTTGTCTCAATTAATAGTTAGCTGACTTTTCTGTAATAAATAGTAGAATTCTAGAATCGTCTAAATGGTTACCGAATTGTTCAGCTCTCTAAATTGTAATATGATTAGAGACTGTTTAAGATTGTAAATTGATGTTTAATTTGATGGGAACAAAGATTTTGATAATATATTAAATTATGAGCTTAAACTTTTTCTTAGGTATAGATTTGGCAAATAATGAGTTTAAGTTTTTGAAAGTGAGTTTGTTGAGCAAAGAGTAACAAATGATAATTGTTAATTATTGGTATTGCTATGTAAAGGAGGATGGGCATTTTAAATTGATTGATTGCCCGACGGATGGGCTGTGTGCATTGATTTGATAAATATATGATAATATTGTGATATTTGAGCAGGCAGATAGTCCAATTTCAGGCAGATAGTCCAATTTTTAGGGAAGGTGCTGTCAAAAATTTTGAAAAGAACTTAGGCTATTTAACTAAACAACATAATTAATAAGTTTAATTTAGAATTAGTTCTATAATTTGGTACATAATAAATTATAGTGCTCTGATTATTTATTATCTTTATATTCATTTTTAATTATTTAACATATTTATTTATTTATTTTCATTATTATTGTTATTGTTGTTAATTTATTTTATTATTGTTGTTATTGTCAATACTATTTATTTATTTATTTATTTTGGCATTGATTTTGGATGTTTAATTTGTGGCATTTGCATTAACGATGTCTAAATTGATTAATAATGTTCTGCATTTGAGATTGCAATGTTTGATTAATTGTGTTGTGATATTGCTGTGCCTTGTTTGTGTGGAATTGGGATGAAAGTGGGTCACCATGGGTTTGTGAAAGACGGTTGGACCGTCGGCCGGGTAATGGGAGATCGGCGCCCCCATGTGTAACCTACCGTTGTGATTGTAATGATATGGAACCACAGGTTGGCTTCTTTCAATTGGGCGCACTTGATAATCTAGAATTTGATTGCAGCCCGCAGGGTGGCCTCCTGTTGTGAGCGCCTGATGATCTAGATTTGATGGGAGACGACCGGGTTTGCCTTCCTGTTGGTAATGGGAAAAAAAAAAAGAGAATGGAAAAACAATGAGAAGGGCTGATCAAGTGAGGATAGACCGGTCGGCCAGTATGGGGGAATTCGGCTCCCTAGTGCACACGTTATGAGAGGATGGGCCATGTGGGAGGACGGCTCATCGGGGGTTTCGGTGACGCCACAGCCAATTTCCACGTGATGTGATTATATGAAGATTTGTTAATGATTGTGAGTGTGCTGGTATGTGCCATTTTGTGTGACTGGCTGCGTGAGCATATAAACTAGTCGGAATGACTAGATTGATATGTTTACACATTTGTGTGACTGCGTGGTATTGTGGCAATATGATTAACTTTCCTTAGAAAAACTCACATGTTTTGTTTAATGTTTCAGGAAGTAAGTTTTCTTAAAAAATTCGAGTTTAGGCTATGTTCCTTCGGCGCAGGGCAATAGAGGAAATTTCCCTAAGTTCCACAAATTATTTTACTAGTGTAAATGTATGTGTATACAAGCTAGTGTATACCAAAAGAGTTAGTGAACATCCGCAGTTGTAAGGATTACATATATTTTAGTTCGTGTATTAACATAGACAAAATATTCTGTTAACCCATATTAGAAATGTGATTTATTGTAAATTGGGCCCGAACTATGGTTTAATGCTTGTAGAAGACATAACTTGGGCCGAGAAATAATCAAATATTGAGGTTTAGTTGTTCATAATCAGATGGGCTGAATGTTGAATTTAATAACCGAGATATAGATCTAGTGTTAGCTTACTATACGGGCCTCGGTGGGCCTTAAAGCTTACCTGGGCCCCTAGTGCTGGCCGTACCCACGGAATGGGTCGTGACAGTAAGGATCGCAGGTTCGTTTTCTATCTCATGTAATTAGGTATCTTAAAAATTTGAGAAAGCAACGGCAAAGTATTTGGGAAGCATCTAATCTATTAATGTCATGTCGCATTCTGTTTTTCAAACTTTGAATTTAAATGCTTTGAAGGAAACTAGTGTTATTATTCAATTGGCTGATCGTTCTAATGCGTACTCGATGGGTGTAGTTGAGGATGTTTTGGTGCAGGTTGGGCAATTAATTTTTCCAACAGATTTTTATATTTTGGATATGGGGGAAAGTGTTTCCACATCAAATTCTGCATTGATTTTATTTGGTAGATCTTTCTTAAAAACTGCCAAGACCAAAATTGATGTGGATGCTGGCACTTTAACCATGGAATTTGATGAGGAAGTAGTTAAATTTAATATTTTTGATGCTATGAAACATCCTGTTGATGAGCATTCTGTGTTTTCTCTTGATGTAATTGATTCATGTGTGCAGAATGTCGTTGAGCTGAGCAAGGAGGATGATTGAGCTGAGCAAGGGAAATTGAGTTAGAAAAGTAGTGATTAGTCCAAAGGAATTTATGAAGAAAGTACAAAACCACCCTTAAGTGCAGAAAATTCCAAAGTGCAGTAATGGAATTGCAGTCATTACCATTAGTTCCCAAAAAGTACAATGTTCTAGTGAATTTACCTAATCATACAAAAATTTTTGCCTTCTATTATAAGATGCAACCAGTTCTTGAAACTCAACCATTACCGGATGCATTTGAAGTATATTTACTTGGGAGAAATGATACACTTCCAAGTTATCAATTTCAAGTAAAGTTAACTAAAGATTGAAGAAGAAAAGGATGACAAAGAGTTCTAAGAATACATAAGGAAGCAATTGGATGGGGACATTGGCTGACATCAAAGGCCCATCGGTGTGTATGCATAGGATTTTGTTCGAAGATGATGCTAAGCCAAGTAGAGAAGCTCAAAGGAGGCTGAACCCACTAATGATGGAAGTTGTGAAGAAGGAGATTTTGAAGCTATTAGATGCTAGGGTGATTTACCCAATTTCAGAGAGTAAATGGGTAAGTCCAGTTCAAGTCGTGCCAAAGAAATCAGGAGTTACTGTTGTAGCAAATCAAGATAATGAGCTGGTTCCAACACGGATTCAGAGTGGATGGCGTATGTGCAGCGTATGTGCATAGACTACCGCAAGTTAAACTTTTCAACTAGAAAGGACCACTTCCCATTG